GATGAGTTTCAAAAGTTTGCCTAAGGAAGCTTCAATATCTTCAACCAACTCATGAATTCGTCGTCGCACTGTATCATTGCTTAATGGGACATTCTTTATAATACACTGGATGCGGATGATGGCGTAAATGTTGAAGGTATTCGTGGTTCATTTCTGCTTACTGTTACAACTTCGCTAAATCGAGACGAGCAGATGAATAAAACAGAATTAAAGTTCTTACCTTAATAAAGTGTAATCCAAGCTGCAGAGGTAAGGAACACGATCATTATATTAGCAAACACAAAATAACATATTTATTAGGTATATGAAGAAAAAAATATCTAGAGATGATTACAAGCGTTGTTTACTGTCCATTGCATAACGCGAGAAGTGAGTCATACAAGGAGAGAATGTTTCTCCTTGTTTTTTTGGATCAAGTCCAATCACAGTTAGCGGGGGTGAGGGGGGAGTTGTACAGCCTCATCGCCTCCGTTATGAATTGCTCCACAATCTCCCACTCGATGAGCTGTTCTGTCCAAAGTAAGCCCGATTCCTTTCAATAAAAATTCCAGCTGTTGTCTGGGCAAAGGTTTCGTGAACATGTCTGCATACATCATTTTACTGTTGCAGTGTATTAATTTAACAATCCCTTGATTTTGTAGATCACATACGTAATGATATTTCACATCGATGTGTTTGGTGTAACTGCTTCCTTTCTCTTTTCGGGAAAGATTTATGCATGATATATTGTCCTCGAATACGATGTTAGCTTCCTGTTGAGCGAAACCTAAATCTCCCATCAGTTGTCTAATCCATTGTAGCTCCTGCAATGTTAAGGCTAGAGCGATGTATTCGGCTTCTGTCGAAGATAGGGCGACACAATTTTGTTTCTTGCTTCCCCATGATACCGTACTGTTTTCCTATTTGAAATATATATCCGGATGTGGATTTTCTGTCAGAGGTATCTCCTGCCCAATCAGCGTCACTGTAAGCTTTGATGACTGGTGCACCATTGGATTTTAGATGTAATTTGTAATTAATTGTAGCTCTCAAATATCGTATGATTTTAATGATACCGTTCCAGTCCGATGTTGATGGATTTTCTACTTTTCTGCTAAGTATTCCAACAGAATTTGCTATGTCAGGTCTTGATACTGTTGCTAAATATAAAAGTGCTCCCACTGCTTCCCTATACTTCCGATTATCGGGAAAAATGTCATCCTGGTTGTTTTGGTTCTTCGTAAAATTCGTAGTCATGGGTGTATAGCTTAGTTTCTTTGGTGACTCTCCGTCGAATTTTTCGATCATACTATTAATCTTGTTAGCTTGATGAAGTTTAAAGCTTCCGTCTTTTTCTCTTTCGATTTCAATTCAATTCCTAGATATGTAGACACTTCTCCAAGATTTCGAATGTCGAAATATTCTTTGAGAATTCGTTCAACTTCTTGAATTGATTCACACTTGTCGCTCGCGACTAATATGTCATCAACGTAAACGATTATGTAAGTTCTTGCGTTTTTCTCGATTAGTGTGAAGGAACATGGATCAGCCTTTCCTTGAACGTATCCTTGTTTGCGCAGGATTTCAGCTATCTTGTGATTCCAGTTTCTGGCTGCCTGTTTTAGTCCGTAGATACTTTTATTCAGTTTACAGACTTTATTTGCTTCTGAAGCAGAGATGTAGCCTTCCGGTTGCTTCATATATATATCTTCTTCTCATTCAGATCTCCATATAGAAAAGCTGTTTTTACATCGAAGTGATTTACGTGCATTTTCCTTTTGAGCTGCTATTGCCAAAATAGTCCTTATTGTTGTATACTTTACGACTGGTGCGAATGTTTCGTCGTAGTCGTGCCCAAATTTTTGGCAATATCCTTTAGCTACTAAACGAGCTTTATATCTGATAATATTTCCTGAAGCGTCGGATTTTGTTTTAAATGTCCATTTGTTTCCAATTGCTTTCTTTCCTTTTGGAAGATCGACTAGTTCCCATGTTTTGTTCCTCTTCAGTGCTTCCATTTCTTCTTTCGTAGCTTTTAACCACAGTTCCTTTTCTTTGGTAGGAAAAGTTTGAAGTTCTTCCCAGTCTTTAGGAACTTTGATTTCTTCGTTCTTAGCCATGTATGAGAATCTGTTTGGTGGGATTCCTTTAGTCGTTCTGTGGGATCTTCTCGGTAATGGGGGAATTTCTTCTGTTTCAATTACTTCCTCTGTAATATCATTTGGACGTGGTTCTGTCAATTTATTTTCTTTAAAAGGCCATTCTATTTCCTCATGCTGATCATTTAATTGACAAGGCATTTCTTCTTTTTTGTTTTCATCGAATATTACGCTTCTTCTGATCACGACGTTGTTTGCATGTGGCATGTAAATTCTATATCCTTTAGTACGGTCACTATATCCAACAAGAATTCCTTTTTCTGCTCTTTCGTCTAGTTTGCTTCTTTTCTGCTTTGGAACTCGACAATAAGCTGTGCTGCCGAAAACTCTGATATGGCTTAGGTTCGGCTTCTTATTATTCCATAGTTCATACGGTGTTTTTTCAACTGATCTTGATGGTAGCCTGTTTTGTAGATAGGTGGCTGTCATTACGGCTTCACCCCAAAATTCTCTTTTGAGTCCTGAATCGAGTAGCAGGCATCTTGTCATTTCCATTAAGTATCGATTTTTTCTTTCTGCTCTACCTACCGTTCTGTTGCGGTGAATATGCTACGGAGGTTTGATGTTCGATTCCCTCTTCCTTTAGATAGTCTTCAATCTCTTTGCTTGTATATTCTCCTCCATTGTCTGTTCTTAAGACTTTTGGCTTCTTTCCAAATTTGTTCTTCGTCATGGTTACAAATTGTTTTAACTTGGGAATAGCTTCATCTTTTGTAGCTAGCAGATAGATCGTTGTGTATCTCGAATGATCGTCGATGAATGTTATGAAGTATTTCTTTCCTCCTAGTGATGTTGTACCGATTGGTCCACAAATATCTGAATGTATCAAGTCTAGAACTGATTTTGCTCTATAGTTGTTTAGCTTGGGATACGGCAATTCAGTCATTTTTCCTCTGATACAGCATTCGCATTCTTTTTCCTTTTTGGCTTCTCCGTCAATTCTTATTCCGGTTGCCAGGTCATCATTCTTTAGCCTCTTGATTGCTTCATAATTTCTATGTCCTAGCCTTCTATGCCAAAGATCTATACTATTTTCTCTTCTTTCTGCAGTTGCAATTTTGGCTTTTTCTTCTTTGCGATTCAACTACGGTATATAAATTTCCTTCTGCTTTAGCAATTCCTATGGTTTTGTTTTTCTTCTTTATTCTGCAAATATCTTCTTCAAATTCAACTGTGAATCCTTTCTTTGTAATTTTTTCTTACGGATATCAATCCTCCTTCTAGGTCAGGAACGTACAGAACATCTACGAGTCTCACTTCTATTTCGTTATCTTCGTCATCTGTACAGTATAAGTATCCTTCTCCTTCTCCTATACCTTCGGACTTCATCTGCGTGCCGTTAGCAATTGTTATCTGCTCAGTTTTGCTTCTATCCAATTTGGTGAAAAAGTTTATGTTATCGGTCATATGACAAGTAGCACCTGAGTCAACTGACCAGTTTGAGTTTTGAGATTTTCTTTCTCTGGTGACTTCGAACGTGTAATTCTCAGTCTTCTCATGATTCTTATTTTCGTTTTCATCTTCATGTGTATCCTCGTTTACAGCAACTTTCGTTTTCTGTTTATTTCCATAATTTCCTTTATTCGTTTGCTTTTCATTCTTGAAAAATGAGTTACTTTCGTTTTTATCTTTTTCTTTGTGGTTATTTAAGAATCTGCACTCTTTTTCTAAGTGTCCTATTTTTTTGCAATAATTGCATCTTCGTTGATTTAAATGCTTGAATTTTGTGTTAAAATTCGTTTTGAAGGCAGTTGTTTCTTCTGTTCGCGTTGCTACTTCTTTTCTTCTCAGGCATTCGTCGATGAGTTTCGTTTTTACGTATTCCAGCGTTAGTTCTTCTTCTGGGCGTGCTTCTAAAGCTGTAATGAGATTTTCGTAGCTCTTTGGTAAGCCGCTTAGTAAGAGCGCTGCAATGTGACTGTCCTTTATTTCTTCACCGATTCCTCGCAGTTCGTCTACGATTTCGAGCATTTTGTTGACATGTTCTTCGAGTTTGTATTCGTTTTCTGCTTTTAACGTATACAGCTTTCTCAGAAGGTAAAGTTTACTGGAAAGATTCTTTCTTTCATGTATTTTCTTTAATTCATTCCATATTTCTTTGGCTGTCGTTTTATTTCTTATGTGTACGATTTGGTTGTCTTCTACGAGTAAACTAATGGTAGCTTGTGCTTGTTCATCTCGTTTTCTCCATTCGACGTTTATTTCTTTTGGTGTATCATCTGCTATTAAATCCCATAAATTTTCCTTTTTCAGGATCATTTCAAGTTTGTATTTCCATACTTGATAGTTGTTATTGTTTAGTTTCATGATCGAATATTTATTTTCGCAGCTGCTTCTGTATTTCGAATGCGCAGTACGCAACTATGCAGTTTTGTTTCGCTTTTGAAGACAGGCTTGGTTTTTCCTTTTTCGGATTATCCAGCGATAATTTATGGTAAAGTATCTTTTCTGTTTTTTTTATTCTGAATGGCTTATCTCGATGTATTTTATGCGTTTAGTTGAAGTAAACATATTTTCAGTCTCATAATCTTTTGTTGAAGGTATTCGTGGTTCATTTCTGTTTACTGTTACAACTTCGCTAAATCGAGAAGAGCAGATGAATAAAACAGAATTAAAGTTCTTACCTTAATAAAGTGTAATCTAAGCTGCAGAGGTAAGGAACACGATCATTGTATTAGCAAACACAAAATAACATATTTATTAGGTATATGAAGAAAAAAAAATATCTAGAGAAGATTACAAGCGTTGTTTACTGTCCATTGCATAACGCGAGAAGTGAGTCATACAAGGAGAGAATGTTTCTCCTTGTTTTTTGGATCAAGTCCAATCACAAGTCCATCCTCTTACTTAGCGGGGGTGAGGGGGGAGTTGTACAGCCTCATCGCCTCCGTTATGAATTGCTCCACAGTAAAACCTCTAGAACTTCCTTGACAGTCGGTAGCATCAAGTCTTTGCTGATGGTAAGAGCTTTCCCCGATTTAGTAATTAATTTTGATAGGTAATTAAGATTAACACTAGAATTAACAAGGCTAACCGATCCTGGTTTTCCACGGATGTATTTCAAAATTAAGCTTTGAAATTTTGAGCAGCTGTTGCGTCTGAAAGACTTTCAGCATTTTATGCTCATTCAGCAGTTTTCATTTTTAAAAAAGTAATAAAATAATATTACAAAAGTAAAACTATTATCATTAAAATTATAAGTTTTGTGACTGCTACTTACATTAATAACATTAATAGGTAAAAAATTATAAATAAAAATGAGAATTATACTGCTCACTGTTCATAACAAGATAGTTCATTAGAGACTGAAGCTTCTGGCGAAAAGATTTATTCCTGAGAATCTGCTTAACATCAATCTTATCAATCTTAATAAATCGTTCACGAGCATTGTTTGTTGTATAAGGCCAAAAATGTGGATCTTTGTTATTTGACACTGAAACAAGTAGTGGTAATAAGGATATTATTATACAACAGAGTTAAACAGTAGTTACTTTTCTCATTTCTAAGTTCATAGCCATGCGCCGCATGCATCGTGTACCCTAAGACGACGCTCCTGCCTGTTATATACTATCATTGTTATGTATTTAGTTTTATTTATTTATTTATTTATTTTTCATTTCATTTCGTGACCACGCCAAAGATAGGAATTTTCATCAGTATATTCATGTTCAATGTTATAAATTATCAAATGAAGTGTATCTGAATTGTAAATCTTTATTCTTTTAAGTATTTATTTTTGGTACTTTCTGATTATCCGCACTTCCACAAAAAGTAGATCACAGATTAGTGAATTCGTGAATTGACAAGCGTTTCTTGGACTATCTTAATAGTTCATATGTTGTGCTCCGTCATAGATAATAATAAAAAGAAGCATTTTATGAAAAAAAAAAAAATACGATGGGGGGGGGCGGGAAGGCAAACAAAAGTTGATATATTGAATATTTACATTTTAAAACCGGTGAATACCATTGAAACAACCGACATAGCTATAAAGCGTGCAAATTTGCGTGTGCCCAAACTCGTGGATTATTTAGTGTGACATGTATAGTCGAAAATACGCTAAAAACGGACAATTCTATTATAGACAAAAATCGAGGTGCGGATAATCAGGTAATACTTTATTTTTTTTACCTTGCTACTTTCGCGAACTTTGTTAGGAAATTTGACCCTTTTTTCATTTTTCACATGGAAATAGTTTTATTCATCTTTTTATACTTTAAACGTGAGGCAATATTTTCACTAATACGCAAATTTACTTCCTGACAATATAAATACAGAAGAAGAATGGAGAAGTATCTACTAGCAGCAGCATTTATCATTTGCATCTTTTTATCTTAAGAAGTCATTGCATGAAAGATAAAAGTCATTAATAGATTTTTCTTAGATCTAGAGAGAGCTTTCATGCGCTCTTCGCACATAGCAGATTCTGAGTGTAGCTGTTCAGCAAAGCATAAAATCTTTAATTTATCTTTGAAGTTTAACCAATCTAATTATCAATTTAATTATTAAATTAAATAAATAAAATTAATTATTTTAATTGCGATTAATTAAATATAATTACTGTTTATTGCATCCATCTAAAACCGTATAAATTAATTTTTTAAATGTATATTTTATTCTTTTTTTTCAGTATGAACTTTTTTCTCCATACTTCTGCCTGGTAATTTTTAATATACTTTGTTTTGTACTACAGTAGTTTTCTCTTCCCTTCCCCGTGCAAACAATGAATATATTACAAATCAATATATAAAGTAAGTGTACAATGTGAATGCAGCAAAAACTCAGAAACGAGTCCGGTTCGATCAAGGAAGTTACATGGTGTGGTCAAAGAATGGTGTGGTAGCCCTCTATGCCCCATCCATGAAGAAGGTTCCTATTCTTACCTGAAAGGGCGTACTTTTGAAGATATAAGGGCTGGAAGTTTCGCCAGTAGGAATTTCTAGAACTGTCCAGAACATTCTACAACATTCCCGAACATCCCGGAATATTCTAAAATGTTCGAGAAGAGTCTGGAACGTTCGAGTACACTCCAGGGTATTGTGGAACATTTCAGAACACTCACACATGTTGTGGAATGTTCTGGAACACTGTGGACCATTCGAAGTCTTTTTTGTATGGGTGGGGCTACCCGTTCATAGGGTATATAAATCAAGATCCGTCGTGGGTTCGAACGTCAGTTTCTTATCGGTGAAGTGCAGTGCGTGAATGAAAACAAACAGTGAAGTGTGAATAATCAAAGTGATACAAATGACTGTATATAAATCGAAAATAAAGTGTGAAAATATGCATTTCTTAATAAAAAGTTGAATTGATTTATATTTTATAGAATGCCCAAACGTAAAAGAGAAAGTGATCTTGCCAGTTCTGAAACAAAACGGCGAAATAACAGCGAAAAAACGAAACAGGCAAAGAGCGCGAAGCAAGTTTGCACAAATTAAGCATTCAACTACGTGCCGACGAAAGAATATAACAAACACAAATATGTCCTAATCGAAAAAATTGATAACATCTGCCAATTTTGTAACGCAAAAAAATTCAGTAGAGAAACGCCAGGCATCTGTTGCATGAATGGCAAAATTCAATTACCACCACTGGAAGCACCTCCGCAGGAATTTCTACATTACATTACGAAGGAAACTTCAGAAGCAAAACTCTTTTAGCAAAATATAAAAGCATACAACGCCTGCCTCTAAATGATTTCTTTCTGTGTCCAGAACGTTACAAGACTTGCAAGGACTTGGCTCTACTCATACTCTCAAAGCAAGGAGCTCAAAGCTCTACTCTCAAAGCAAGGAGCTCAAATTTCTCAAAGGAAGGAGCTGTACTCATACTCTCAGAAGATTTTCGACAAACACTTCTAGTTATTCCCTAGTCAACACCAGCAGTAATGAAATCAATGTATGCTAAAAAAAAATCCCACTTCTGGCCACACATATAAATACTGCGAATAACAAAAAATATGAGAGTTGAACTATCGAAAGAAGAAACAACAGCACATTTTGCTCAGAAACCTTTACCAATAAGCGAATTACCAATAGCGCGATTACATATTCTTCTAACCAGACGACTAGCTTCTTTGAACTCAACCGTGATTTCTGCAACATAGCCACTACTGAAAATGAACTCATCGACGAAATTTATCCAAACATTGCTCAGAACTACACCAACCCGAAAAAATTATTTCAAAGGGCAATTTTGGAAACTAAAAATAATATTGTCGACGATATCAAGTTTAATATTCTAAAGAAAATTTGAGGTCAAGAGTTCTACAGAAAATTCGATATCAAATCGATTGACACCATATTAAACGTTGAAGAAAGTGTTAACTTCCCTACAGAATTTTTCAACTCTTTACAAGTACCAGGGATGCCATTACACTGCCTTCGACTGAAAATTTGGATCTCCGATGATACTTCTCAGAAATCTCAACTCACCAAAACTATGTAATGAAACAAGGATGGTCGTCAAACAGTTATCGAAGAACATCATCGAAGCCAAACTTAGATTGGAAAGGACAAAGGGCACACGGTATTTAACCCCAGAATACCACTCATATGTACTGAGCTGTCGTTCTAATTTAAAAGACTGTAATTTCCAATCAAATTAGCCTATAGTTTTACAATTAATAAAGCGCAAGGACAAACTTTAAAACATTGCAGCATCAACCTCAAAGACTCCTGCTTTTCTCACGATTTCTCACTAACTATACATAGCTTAATCTCGAGTAGGAAATTCGAAAAATTTGTGCATATAAAATACCCCGGATAACAAAATGAAAAATGTTGCTTATAAACAAGTATTGTAAATAGTTAGAATGTATTTTTTTTTTTTTTTAAATTCCCTCTTATATTTCAAGGTTTATCCTTTTATTCCAACTACCACACAATCACATATCAACTCCCTGAGCGAATCCCAGCTAGGTATCCCAGCTAGTATATTATAAATATAAAACTGCATTAAACACTATATCTTTACTATCATCAGCGAATTCTCCAAAACATTTTCATTGATTATTGTAATTTTTGGAATCTAGCCTGTAATAACAAACCGGAATGACTTTGTTTGGACTTTATCAATTAGAAAGTTAGCTTTAGATACATTTTGTGCTTTTGGAATTTCATGGTAATTTCAATTCCATTTTTACTGCTTATATTTAATTTCTCTTTAGAGCCTTCTTAATGGCTCCATATATAACTGAAAATTGATAATTTAGAATAAGCCTGCATATTGATGAGTATGTATATTAGATTATATATTAAACATACATATATAAAAAATTTTATTAAGGGTTAATTGTTAAATAGCGAAACACGTATTAATATTTGTGATTCAGATGTAGGTTTCGCATCTAGATCATTCAACATTTTGCTCAGATCCTTTTGAAAGGCTTTGGATATTTGAAGTATTAAACTGAAAATTGTCAAGATTATTATTATTCTGAGAGCCGAACATGATATTTTCAGTTTCCGAAGGTATTCTTTTAGCAGTGACCTCTTTTCTATCACCACTTGCAAATAAATCCTTCTTTAATACATAAATTAAATCTACCTTTCCTCCGCATGTTTCGTCGTTTCTGGCATCCAAGTTGAAATTATCGTCAGAAATTTCTACCAGTCTATCACTGACATTTTCTTTTTTTGAAAGCAATAGGTTGAGTTTCAGGATTAGTTCTTTTACGGAGTTCTGAATTTCGCTGGATCTAGCTTGCAATTCCTGATTAAAATGCTCCATTTTATTTAAACAAATATTCATCGTAGATGGTAATAAATACAATGGATTTTTACAATGTTCATTGCCTGCATTCGTATCTAATGTTAGAACTTCAGAGAATGAAGATCCATTTGAGGTTTTCTCGGGAAACACGTCAAGAGATTTTTCCGATATATTTGGGATTCCTGTTTGGTTTTTCATATCTTCCAACATATGTTTTATACTGAATGCATCTTGATTAAATTGTCTTATGATTTCTTCCAGCTGTGCAGCTATGATATTGAGTTTTTCGGTTGTAACTCCCAGGTTCTGCATGGCCTCTTCATAGTGTTCTGTATTTTTTTGGTAACCAAGTTCGACATTCCGAAACATTTCATCAAACTGATCATCAACGAAGTCTAGGATGCTTTTGACTGCAGATATATCGAAGAACTGCTTACTGAGAGCATCACTAATTTCTGCTAGCTTTTCAGCAGTTTCTTCCAATTTGAAAGATAAAATTCTGTTTGTATTATCGTTAAGTACAGCTATGTAACGCATTACGTCTTGTCCAATGTTTCCGAACTGATTATACGTTTTCTTTGTTTCTTCTGTAGCTATGGAAAATGCCTTAACAATTGTACTTTTGATGTCTTCATTATTTTGCGAGATGTGTGAAAGAAGGATATCCAGATGCCTCTGTTCCTCTTTGTGCTCATTTAATTGCTTTATAGTTTCTTTCGTAATTTCGTTGAGGCTTTTCTTGACAGCAATGATAATATCCCGGGTTAATTCATTTTCATTATTCTAAAAATAAAACAGGTATTTTAAAAATGCAGAAATTTTCTTTATTTAAGTTATTATGATAGCGAATATAGCTTATGAAATTGGATAACTGATAATTTATATGCATGTAAATCATAAAGTTAGTCGATTACTTTTATTATTTGTCCCCTGCAATATTGTTGGATGAAATACGACAATAATTTGAATTTTCAATTAAACGATAATGAATATCTGAAATCAAACTAGGTTTGTTTTGTGTTGAAAGTAATGAATGGAAAGTCATAAATATTTCAATACAAGAAATAGCTGAATAACTTACAACTTGTGTTTTCTGCTTAGAAAGATGGAACTTTTCTTGGTTAGTAACTAATAAGGCCTAAAGAAAATTCATGTGTGATATGGGCCTAAGGGAATTTCAAGTATGAGGCCCATAATATTAACTAATAGAAATGGCATATTAGTATGATTTTTCATCAAGATCTACATTAAAAAACCCAGTATTAAAAGTTTCGTAATTAACGGTATACATTATCATCCCAATCGTAACCGCTACTGACATAATAAATGATGTTAGATGAGTTTTAGAGCAAATACGAGAGATTTTGTGGAACAGTCTTCCAAAAACAACACGTGATTAAAATATTTAAAAACATAAATGAATGTTTAATTCTTATATGCCTTATGTCCCTGTTGCTTATGATCCTGCTGAATAAGATATATGATTTCGTTTGAAGAATTTAAATATCAAATGAATATGAAATTTTTACTAGATGGTTAGAAATGTCTTAATGGCTATGAATGAGTGAAATATACATGAAGTTACTTTAAATAATTTTGGTTGTGAGCTTAACTTAATTTCATATCTAGCAACACAAATATATGTGCCAATTTTGTTGTATGAGAAACGCTACAATTTAATTAGGAAAACATAAAAGACATTATTGGAAGAAAGGAAGAAGGCGTCATAACCGCCAGCCTTAGGAAGCGTTATTTTATTGATTTGTGAAACAATTGCTTTGTAATGTGAGCTTAATAGTGGAAGATTTATATATGTTACGATGAAACACCGAAATCTGGAGAATGTCGACTTTCACCGGTGAATGTCAACATTCACATAGTCTCTTGGTGTATGTCCGAAATATTTTCCAAATACTCTTATTTCTGACTTACACCGGTCAATGTCGACATTCACCATGTACTAATGGTGAATGTTGAACATATAACAATATTATATTTTCTTCTCCGTAATTCAGTCGCGAATAAACGCACTTGAGACTTGAAATAAGAACTTAAGAACATGATAACCTAAAACACACAATACATTCAAAATGAGAAAGGAAAATAATAGAAATTAAAAACTTACTTAATTATACAGTACGTTCTAAATGAGAAAATAAAATAACAGTAATAAAAAACTTACTAAATTATGGGATTCAAATCTTATTTATTCAACATCTTAAACTATTATGGCACTTTATAACCTCTCTTTTCAACTTTCACCAGATCATATCTGTGATTGTCGACATACACCGGTGAGGGTCCGAATATACAAGAATGTAGTGCAATATTCGATCTTTCACCGACGTATTTGGTGAATGTTGACATTCTCCGGAATGGATTATATTTTCTCCTCTCCCAGATTAAGAAGGAAGGGAAAATGTGTATTAGCCGTTTGTTAAATACAGTCCATTTATATTGATTAAAATTATTATTGTAGCGTCTCTTATATTTCTTTATTATGAAATTTTATTTGCACTCACTCACTCACTCACTTCGTTTATAAAAGAACTGGATGCCTTAAGTTTTAGAATTTTAGAAATTTATTTAGAATTTTAGAAGTATGCCAAAATACGTATGAATATTGTTCGTATTATGCGTCGATTATCGGCAGAATCCGCTAACTTGAAAAACTTAATCTAAATTTAAACTTGTTCTGTTTCCATTAAAGTAGTGCTTTTATGCATTTATGTGGTGATCACGGCACTTGAGTCGTAAATACACTTCTTCCTGTAAGTGTTTATTTTGTTTTTTCGTCTTTAGATTATCTATCGATCTTTCACATGGAGCTGTTTATAGAGGCAGCATTTACTATAACTTTTCCTTCCATATTCCTCACCAGAATGCAAATTAATTGTGAGTATTTAAACTGAGGTTTTGGGGATTTGAGGCAGACACTATCTCATAGCAAAAGAGAAGAATTCACCTTTGCAATATAAGCCAATTCTACGCTATACATTTGCAGCCTCAAAAACAGCCTTCCACAAATTTCAGGTAGTACAGAATAAGATTCTGAGAAGAATTGTAAATATACATTACCTGATTAGGAACAAACTCATTTATGACTACTTAAAAATTGACCCTATTGTGGAGCATATTACTAAACTTAATAAGCGTTTCTTCAAAACTAAGTGTAGTTGTGATGCCGAAAAATTTTCAGAAGTTCTTAGTTACCAAGTAATTCTGGAAATTAATTTGATTACAACATTTTCTACTCACGTGCTTAGAGATCACAACTTCGCAACCTAGTTATGGCTGTCAACGTTTACTTGTTTTCTTGCGCGGCGTGATTTCTGTCTTTTGTCGCTTTCCATTAGATTGACACACATGCAGTTTAAAGGACACAATGATCTCTCCCCTTTAACTTTTTTACTATTTAGTTCTCTTATTCAAATCTTCAGCCGATAATTTAACAAGCGGCCATTTTAATAAATAGGTCAAATTCTTTCTTGACCATTCTTGGAGTTTCACCTGCTAGCTCATCAGTATGCTCTCTGTGACTTTACTTTGCTTGTCCAGATTATTAAGACCCCTGGGGCACCATAAACAACTTCATAATCAGTATCAGTACTTGGGATAGAATATGTCTGGCATCTCATGTACGTTACTTGGTTAGGTTCCTGCCAGTTCTAATAGTTGTAATCACTCGGCTTTGAGATCTTTCGATTCGCCATTTTAATTCCAATTTAATGTCCCTTGGTAGAGGTATCGAGCCAGCTTCTAATATGGTATTTAAATGTGTAGTTTTCGACTACTGCTCAACGTTTAATTTAAATCTCACTGTTCTAATTATTTGCATCCCCACGAGTTGGGGTAGCATAAGAGCGTGCACTTATGTTCCTAATTCAGTTTAAAAATGTTATTTTAAAGTTCTCAAACATAGCGATAACTCGTTTCATGTCTGTTAGGGTTACGAGATTTGAGTAATTTTTACAAACATGTAACACGCAAAAATAAATTTCAGGTACACCTCTTGTTTTGCAACAAGAAAAGCCAAAAACAGCTGAATTTTTATCTTATTAATCAAATAATTGCTTGTGTTAAGTAAGTTTTCAGAATGTAATGCAAGAAAATTTTGACTTACCAAGCATTTCGCATGGGCATGATTTTGTTTTCTACAAATCGGTTCTTTTCTTGTTTGCGTAGAGCGATTTTCCCTGCTACCGTATTTTAAATTCTGACGGCAGGAAGAGCTTGCACAAATCCCGTTCGAAATTTTATCGTATGGCATTTGCCTGCAGTTTTTGCCGAAAGCTTCTTTCATAAAGTGGAAGTCTTCGCTGAACACATGCAGAGTCCTTTGTATGTTATTGAATCGTACTTCGTTTCGAACGTATTCTTCTTCAACGATATTTCTGAAGCGAAGATACATGTTGGCGATTTCTAATTCCATGTAATTTTTTAAGTCAGCGTAATTTATGTGTTCGTCCTTAATTGCCTTCACTGCGTCTTTTACATGTGCCCAATCTTCATTTGCCTGTGCGAAGAAAGTAAAGTAACATTACTATTTAGTTCTCTTATTCAAATCTTCAGCCGATAATTTAACAAGCGGCCATTTTAATAAATAGGTCAAATTATAAAAGAAGAAATTCAGTTATTGAAGGTTCGGGAATCATTATTTAATTTTAATGTCTTAAGTTATTTGTTAGACCGATGCTTTATATGTCACTACATTAGTATTTAGATTAAAGATTAGCATTTAGATGCCAACTGGTATACCGAGATCTAAGTATTTTAAAAATGGAAAACAAATGATTCACCTCGTACCAACGAGCAGTTGCAAAATATAATTCATGGTGATTGAAAATTTAAACAATTACTAATTCTTTTACGAAAGAAGGGCTTCTTTAAACAATACTTCTGGTTTCTATGATTTAAAATTAACATTGTACGGAAGGAAGACTAAATCAATGAAAGAAAGTTTAAAAATGTGAAAATTTCATTTCCTCCGGAAGATTGTACTCCTTAAAAAAATAAGTCATTAAAAAATAAGGGCAAAATGAAAAAAAAACAAATGTTTCATCAAAATTTGAGGAATTCAAAAATCAAGTAAAGTGAGTGACAAAGTAAGTCAAGCACAGGTGGCAAAATATCATATGAGATGTAAATTCACCTGAAATGGCCAATCCTAGAGATGAATACTGTTATTGAAGTGTGAAGATTTAAATACATTTCGCCTGTGTGGTCAATGGTGAAATCATTCAGTTGATTAAGAATTCATTATTAATATCCTACAGAGAAAGTTTATGATTATTAATAAGGAGACAGCAACGTACGCTCATCAAGAGCATTTATAGCTTGAAATTATTGGACTAACACAATACACATGAAATAAGCATGAATGAACGAACATAATGTACATGAAAAAAGCATGAATGACATGAATAAAAGCTTGTTATGGTGCATTTGCAAAGCACGCAAAGTGCTTGTTGTGATGATTGCCTGAAGTAAGTAAAGATTTGACAAAATGGCCATGATTATTTCATCACCAGATAGCTGCACCATGCAGGAAGCAGTTTCAAAGATGGCTTGCCTGCTAGTGTGAAATTGTAGAACATAATAAGAAATTATAAAGTAAAAAATACTGTTTGATTGTAAATATTACAAATTAATTTGTAAAGTGTTTTTCGTAATTTTTCTAATTGTTTGTGTAATTGTTTTAAGTTCTTAATATTTCACTCTGTGTTTTAACTGCAACTTCGAACTGAAGAGAGAGTTTGTCTCTGAGTTGTGAACCATGTGTTGGACTTGTGCGTGTGGAAGTTTGTGTCAATAAAACTTTTGCATTATTTAATTTAGTTTTTGTTGATTTATTTGACTATATCAGGATCATTATCCATATTGGTTTAATGACTGAAATAATTTCTCTCCGAATATGCACATTGATAACCCGGACAGATACTTCATTCTTGCGTCAAAGACCTTCACCATAAACGTCGCCCATATGTAATCACCCTGAATTTGAATTAGATTCCGTGGCTACTGTCGTCAGAGCATATTTTGAAAAGCGCTCAGATGAAGGTGACCATGACAAAATGGTCCTGATATTAACATCGGAATTATCAAAAGGGATCAAAGAAGAACCACCTCAGGTTAAAGATCTGTTGGATATTGTAATACAGGGTAGGGATCTTTAATTTACACCTTCTCGCATAGGCATCAAAATGTGCTTTCTTGCGTCTCTAATGCAATGAAGATTATAATTTTGATAAACTAAAGAGAACGATGCTGAGATAGTGAGAAAAAATGACAGTTATTATTATTTTTTAAAAAACATTTAAAGTGTGGATTATAATGCTACACTTATTAAGGAATATGGTTAATAAACTTTTACTTTATTTGCAGCTGTTTTTATTTCCGCCATTTCCTTCAAAAGAACTTTCGTCGATGATTGTGAATGTGGTCTGAAAATCTTCGCTGCTAATAATCCTGAAACCTTCATAAAAAGAATGACAAAAAAGATAATAACTTGCTTATGACTAAAATGATTTGAATAGAGACAGCTAAAGAAATTTACCTTGTATTGGTACGTATGCATATATATTCATAAAGAACACAATAAAACTGCACGACAATTTAAACTGAAGTAATAATTACTAAACTGAGAAAAAAACATAATGTGAAATAATATACACAGGGTTATTCATAATTCCAGAGGGAAATTTAAAAATTTATAGCAAATAAGCTACGGAATCGGCACTAAACTTTATTATACTGAAATACAGTTAAACTGAATAAGTCTTTCTTTACATATTTCACATATGCTCAATGCGTCCCCCTTTGTTGATAAGGTAGGCATTTATGGGATAGTCCAGGAGTCCAGTCAAAGGAGTCTGTATGGACCCCTGGGTGTCGGTAAAATTTTAAAGGAGTCAGTGATGATTAAGGGAATGATACCATGATTGGGGATTAATACATATTTTGTAAAAAGACATTAATTTAAGAATTTACTATGCTTTCATGGTACAATAGCCTGATTCGCCGGTTCATATCACGTGACCACAAGTGATCTCATGTCACGTAAACTACGCTACAAAAATCTAATTCTCTCAGTAATTATCTACATTAATTTCAAGTTAAATCTTAATATGGAATACAAGTTTAAATGCAAGAATTATTTCAATTCGTACGAATAACTTTTTCAGAAATTATGTAAAACCGCAGTGCTTTACTTCGCTAGTGCATTCTCATTAGAATTGATGAATTTAACCCTCGATTTTGCCTTTTCTATATTTTCGCCATTCTTATTGACTTAATTACGCGAATGGCCTTAGGGCATAAAATTGAACTATCTGGTAAACATTCTATCTAATTGTATGCCAGTATTAAAAGAAACATTCAGTCTGATAAGAAATGACTGCAACTTGTTTTGAAAATGAGGCGTAAAATATTACCATAGAGGATATTCCGCTTGGCATCAGTTATACCATTATTAGCGACTTTATCGTCTGCGCCGACAAAAAGGAAAAGTACTTTATTTCTTCTAGCTTCTCTCAAATATTATTTGTCTATTAGCGGGATTCAAATAATTTATGCATTCATGTCTATTAATCTGGTTAAACTTTATATATCGCCATTTGAGTAATTCATGTCCAAAATATGAACAAGATGAAAAGCAGCTTCAGATAAAATTCAATGTTAAATTTAATGTTGCTACTGCCGAAGTGAACAAAAGCTTGTTTACTAAACGTAAAAACTGCAAGCTAGTTGTAATTCTTCAGCTTTCTGTATTACCTGCCGAAAGACCAGAAAATGTTTCCTTTCTCAAATGAAACGTCCATAACATACTCAGATTCTCAGAAGCATGGGCAACTTTGTTAGAAACGTCTGCATTCGGGTATTTCAAATTCAATCGTACTTAATTTTGACAGATCCAGAAATCGGCTTTTACCTGCTACAGCACTTTAGTTGCTTAATTTAATACGGGTGCTATATTTGGTGATTAATCGCATTTCTGCTTTTAAGTATTACTATTTCATTTTGCTTCCGGTTAATGAACAAGTAACGAATTATTCCGATGTGCCAGTCACTTTGTTTCGTTTAGAATACTTCAGAAGAATAAAGTTTTTCTTCTTTGCTGTTTCTTATTTGTGTTCTTAAAAATTACTATAGTTTCTCTTCATTGCTATTTCCAGTAGTGGAAAATACCTGTATTTCTGAGGTGCTATCTCTATAATTTAATTTATAAATTGCTCAAAATTATACTTTACGGAAATAGCAACATATTATGAAATATTCAAAATACAATATTTAAAAATAAGAGTATCTCAACCTGTTATAAAAGTATCTCAACCTGTTTTAAAGTAGGCATTTTGTTCCATGTATTCATTATTAAGAGCTTTCATAGTTCCCAGACATTTACACTAATATTTCCCTCCTGCATTTTAAGTATGCAACACTTTGTACTTCTTTGTTAAGATAGTCATCGCGCTTAGTCGCCAGAACTGGCCAACTTATTAGTCCAATTTCTAACGTGTAAATTTAAAATGCCACCAAAAAGGATATATCATATAATTTCATGAAGAATAATTTAAGTGCAGGCAATACATTTTGATGGCAGCCAGTCATCAAGCCAATTATAGCGGTAAAAAATTATTATGAAGGTATAGAAAAAACTAAACTGTAAAAACTAAACGATTAATCTAAGTAACTTACCTTTTGAAAAAATATCCACAGTAGTTTCAGTCCTAAAAGATCTAAAATAAATTCAAGATTTTAACTTTAGCATCTGCGTATCAAATAAATATATTCGACATATTTGCAATACATTTACTCAGCAATTACCTATAGTGACTGAAAAGTTAAATATCTTTAGTCAATTAAAATTATTAATGTTTTGTTGTTGCACCGTGGTAGAAGCAGTCTGTATGAAATTTCTCTGAATATTTCAAATACAGCAGAATGGGTGTTGTGTATGAGACTTAGTTCATTGATTATGTTAATTCATCTCTTACCCAATTGCTGCAATTAATATCAAGATTAGTTTCTAGTGTGAAATCTAGTGTAGAATTGGGTGTCCCTTCGATCAGACACAATTTTTTAAAAATTTTGGCGATGAACCTCACTTCTGGTTATCATGATATTTTTAACTTTGTTTTAGTTTCTTGATTTTATTTAAATGAACGTAGACTGATGTATTAATGAGCAAATTTAAGGCAGTGCGCAATGCCTAGATTTGCAATTCTAGGATTGTTTTTTAAGTGAAAACAGATCGATGTGTACATGGACACAGAGTTTGTGCAATTCTTTGACTTCTTATTTTGGTTTTATGTAGCGGCCATCTTGAAATTGTGCCTTTCTGGCGCCGATCTTGGAGTCAAAAAAGAATCGCCAGAAAACAAGGGGCACCCAATTGTAAACTTTTACCAATATCAATAAAGAGAAATGGAATAAAAAAAAAGTTGCTGTTTTTTGGTATACACAAAATATGTATGCCACTGTCGGACAGAAAGTGTTCATGCGTTGTTAAGCCATGCAAATTTTCCGGAAATATATATTTTTTAATTCTGAAATTAAAAACAAAAATAAATAACTTTTGACATTTTTCAAAAATTAGAACTGATATCATAAAATTAAACATACATATTTTATGTTGCATTTGAAACATCGAAAGTTAAGAGTGAAAAGCAGAAGTTAAAATTTTTTATTGATTTATTAGCTCCACATCTTATTTTTATGCCATAACTGTATTGCCCTTTTATTCACTTTTCTTGAATATAAATAAAAGACTTTATACAGCTATGAGAAAGATAAATAACAATAAAAATTTAACTTACCAATTATGATAGTTGCAAGATAAAGCAAAAAACTAGTTTCGCAGCGATGCTTCTGCATTTCTTTTAAGCAGGTCTCATTAGAATATAATTTAAAGGAAGATAAAAACATTATTGAGATCTTGAAAATTCAGTCTACTTGAGTTTGCAGAAAGTAATGAATTCATCTGATTATTAGATATCCAAAAGCTGTTTTAATTGCAACGGTTCAATATTCTGCAAACAAAGTTTGAAATCATCGAGGCCGATGCCATTCAAGTTGAAAAACAAATATGAGTTACAAAAGAAACCTTTTTATATATTATGAATGACTTTTTTTTAATCCCAGTTTTCAATAAAACACTTCAGCTAACGTTGAAATACAAATTGCATTAGCTGTTGTTAAAAGAAGCAATTATTGTATGTTATTTTTCAGCCTCTTGCCTTAAATTATCAATTTAGGAATCTGGCAATAAGAAATGAAAGAACACATAATAAATTTGTTTCTTTTATATGTATTTCTCGTCAAAGAAGATTTTAAGCATATTTTCAATAGCTGTTTATTTTATTTATTTAATTCTTTATTTTTTGTATATAAAAATTTTTGGAACAGATGTGCCAAACGTACCGTGAAGTAGTTATCGCCAAAACATTTTGGCGATAAAAGTCCTTTTCGTAGGCTTGTTAAGCTTAAAGCTAGAACTGTGAACAAAAAACGGTACTTGCGTATTATTCGGTCGACCTTTAGTGGAAATTTTGGTAATGGTCCCCAGTCGCCAAGCGTTATTGCGGATTTTTAAAAAAAGTAGTCATCCATCGTTCTACTAGGCTAGTCGACGGGATAATACGTAAGTACCAAAAACGTAAATAGTTAAAACAATATAAAATACAAATGTACTAATCGTTTAAAAAGTAAAAATGTAATGAATTCATTTTTGATAAAACACAGCGGAAATTTAAAAAAAAAAAAAAAAAAAAGAAACACACAAAAATATACAGAAGCGTCTAAATTGGTTAAATGGTTGCCATAAAGCCAAATTCCATTAAAATCTCTTTATTTCTAAGCAAGAGAAAAAAAATCGAATACAAAATTTGGCGGGCGATGCGTCTCCCGCACATTTGTACCAAATTTTTCTCCCTCCCTTTCGTTCTTTTTAGCAGTTTTCCTATCCTGAGGTAAATTTGAGCTTGTTTCATTATGATCAAGGATCTCTAGACTATTCAGGTTTTCGTTACTGTTCTGGAATATGAATGCACTTGTACATAACGTGATATTTAGTCTGAAAATTAATATAAATTCATCTATTATTCTTTTGTTTTTTGTTCTTCCTCCAAGTGGTAAAACACATTTTTATGAAAGATACATAACTCTTAAATTTATTTTCATAAAACATATACTTTAGTTTAAGCGATATTGTAAGTTGACGAGTTCAGATGAGCGTAAGAAGTTGAAAGAAGAGACAGGTGGATTTCACAGTTAAGTCAAGCTAGGGGATTTTTGAACATAAAACAACAGTAAGTGATTTTTATGGAAAGGACAACTCTTAACTAATGACTTACTTCCATTAGCTAAGAGTTGTAGTTTAGTTGAGAGTAACTTCCATTAGCTAAGACCACATTTTCTTTACACTTTCCTGAGTCAAGTTTGCAGTTTACAAGGAATTAATGGCATTTTTAGTCCAAAGAGACGTAATTTAAAATCTGAAACATTTTAGTTTTTTTTCAATGTTTCATATTTTTGCGCAATACCCCTTAATTTAGTGGCAAGCTTCAGCAATTTTATAAATTCTCAGTATGTATTTGCCGTGTTAATGACGTATTGACACAACGAAAATATAGGTTGTTATTAACGTTTATCAAAAAGATTTCTTCACTTTAATATGCTACTTCTTTCTGTCTTTCAAACTCATTCATACTGTTGCCGTGCGTACGGATTCGTAATAGATTGAATGCACAAGTCTGATGAAAAGTTAATAAAATTTATACTTATCACAAGAAATAAAACAAAATGCTGACATTTTGCCTCACAGATATTCGTGCAATATGACGCAGTAGTTAGATTTTTAAACCACTAAAACTTTAAATAGAACACAATTCAAAGCGCAGAGAAAGCTAAACCGATTTCAAAAACTACTGCAACTAAATAAACAACAGCAACTCACTAAAAGAACTGAATTGGGGTGTTTTTCTCCGGCTTTTTAATCATGCACGAGAACATCATTCTGGTAAATTCTATTTTCTCGAGGTTTCTGGAAAGCAAAAGGGAAGAATTACAGTTACAGCTAACACACAAGTACATTTATTCAGTTTAAATATAAATTACGAGATATCCATTTATTAAATGCGCGTGCTCCTGTATTTTTACTTTTTTGGTGTAGCTTTCTCTTAAGTCTTTATATATATAAGCGGCTGAAGTGTGTGTCGCCGATAGTTTATTGTTGCCACTCGGAAAAATGAGCACGGAAATTATCCTTTCCGCAGTTTTTAATTAATATCTCAACCGATTAAAGTCGTACGAAGGTGAGAATGGTATCGAAGGATTCGGAGAATTTTTTGGAATCCGAGGATACGCGTCTCGAATTTCAACTCTGCGCCGTAGATATTCGAGAAAAAAGAATTTGGCACGTAGCCAAATCCCTTTAATAGTGAAAAACCAAGAAACAAAGTGGAAAATGTAGGGAAAACGTAGGGAAAAATTAGTTTTGAATTAATATCTCGTTTAATTAAAGTCCCAAGAAGACGCGAATGGTCAAAATAGCGTGCCACGGATATGCTTAATCCAACGATTTGCTTCGCTAAGCCCGGGAGCCAGCCGTTTCGAAGGAGATGATGTTACTTCACCCTATATATATATATATGCGGCTTAAGTGTCTGTTTGTCGCCGATAGTTTATTGGTTGCTTGCATAACTGTACTTGCCAATGGAGTGAAGTTGCCACGGCACAGGGTAGCCGTTTCAATTGAGACGTAGACAATTTACTGTAAAACTTGCCTTTGCTATGACAATCCATAAGTCTCAGGACCAAGCGTGTTGGCATTTTTTTACCTGAGCCTGCATTTAGACACGGTCAACTTTATGTTGCCTGTTCAAGAGTTCGTGAAAGAACGGAAGTAAAATTCAAAATAATGGATGGTCCTCTGCAAGGCGAGCTTAAAAATGATGGAAAGATCTACACAAGAAACGTTGTTTACAAAGACATCTTTGATATGTGAATTAACATTTCATTATTTAAATCACCTTTATTGATTGAGCTACCGGTGGCTCTTAAGAAATGTACCGCCAGTGGTTTCCTTCATTGCATTCTACTTTAAGCAATTAAGCAAGTAGAAAGGGGAAACCCCGTGGGGCAGTAAGCAAAGGGTTCTCTTTCTATCCTAAATGTTTGCCTAATATGTTTATAATAAATCTTTCTTTAAAAATTAAATTCAATGATATGAAACACTGAAGTTGTGTAATAAGTACTCAAACCAAAACTAATTACTAAGTAGCAGAAATAAAGCGGATCCATAGATACACGATTCTGAATCTAGCATCCATATAGTTATGTATCCACTTTTCTCTCACTTCTATGTACTGCTGTCATGTCACCCGTCGCTTTTCTTCTTTGTAGCCAGTTATAATGTAACTATACAAAATGTACTCTTGTAGCTGAGGAATCATCAGATGTATTCGTATCTGAATTTTGGCACAATTTTATTGCCTTTCAGTTAACGAAATATGCTTTAATAAACATGATCTATGAAAGATTTATCATCGTTTAGCAGCTAAACATTTTTATTGCATGTACAATCATGAGAAAATAATTGTCATAGGTATATAATTTTTTCCACCTCATGAAATTTAAAAGCGTTGTGTACGAATTTAATACGTATATGTTACGCAAAACGAGTGAGAGTACTGCGATATAAAATGGCAGGCATCAACAATATTTTTTGAATAAACTGTAAAATTTAAATATTGTTTTAATACACTCAAAAAGTAATTGATTTTACGATTTTTAAGATGTCTCAATAACTAATGTAACAAATTCTTAGAAAATATATTTGTTTAATTATGAATTTTGCTTGAAAAAAGTGTTAATTGCGTTTTGGAATAACAAACGTTTTATAAATAGCGAGGTAGGGTTCGCTGGGGGTGAAAGACTGCTACAGTGTTCTCGGCACAAATTACTTTTCTGCATATGGAATAAGTTATATTTTTTTATACTTAATACCGTTCCATGCTGCTGCATTAAAATACAGGAGTCAGATCAACTAATTATCACTTCCTGTCGACCGCTTGTAAATAAAATGTAATTTGTTTATCAACTTTGGCTCTAGTTAATTATAAACATTATTCATTTTTTTTAATTCTGAATTGATAATCTGTTTATAACGTATTCTATTCTTCCCTACAGCAGGCAATGATAACTATACGTGCTCATTTACACTTCAATTTTTCTCTTTTGACTTGAAAATATCGCATTGATAGTAACATTTTCTGTGCTCATACAGTATTTTGGATTCACAAATCAATGACTTAACAATCATAAAATTTTAAAACAGCATATCTTCAGAATTCCCGATAGATTGTAAGGTGCTACCATATATTTCCTTTTGTATTCGCTGTATTATTTATGTGGTTGGGGGGTTGAAGATGCTTTCCTTAGGGAAATAACATTTCCACACCACAGACATTTAATGAAAACAAAAGAAAAGGTAGAGATTGAATTGAATGACCGTGTCGTTGCGCTTTTTGCGCTTGTTGGATAAGAACGAAGTTCTGCATAACTTTTATATATTTTAAATAGCCGATTGGGGCCTACTCGCGCTCGCTATCATATACAGTTCCTCGGTTACCACCTTCGAGTGGAATCATACAGTTATTCAGTTACCATCTTCGCGTGGAAACAACCAAAGAATCTCTAAGGAGATTAAAGATTCTTTGGAAACAACATCTGTCTATATCAGTAACATCCTCCTCTTTCCTCTCGCTGCAGGCGCATAGGTGATGCTTTCTGGTACTGTGCAGAACTAACTGTTACCACATTTATATTTGCTATGCTATTTCTTCAACTATAATACATAGCGATAACATTTGATAGCAGCATCCTTTTATATGAAAAGTGATTCGACACAAGAGTGAAACGAAAGCAGCATTGAGGCTAATGCATTTAATTGTTTCATAATACAGCTCGTGTTCATAACGAGCTTATTCCCGCTGCATTTAGTATAATTCCAATAATGCATTTAATGCTTATAAGTGCATTATATTGT